AAAGGTTTCTTGGGAAAAAAGGATTTTAGTCTTCCTGGCTTGTCTTCAGGAAGAATGAGAAGTGAGAAGCAGGAAAGTAGGAAAAAGTTGGAGAAAATCTTTGCTTCTGAGGCTTTCATTTTGGGGTTTTCTGAGCCCCAACATTACCTACCAACCGACACAACTTACCAAATGTAACAACATCTCAAAGAATTAATGCTTTGTCCTTAACAAAAAAACAAGACAAGAGAAAAAAAGAAAAAGAAAAGAGAAAGAAAACATAAGGAATAAAATAAAAAACAAAAGAACCAAGAGTAATGTCTGCCACATGGGGAAAGCTGAGCTGACTGAGCAATAAATGACTCAGTTTCCTGGTTGCTCAGCCGGGGTGCTGCTCCCCCATGCAGTCTGGTCACACTTTCCATTGGGATGCCAGTGGTTCACAGGTGTAAATGCTGGTTCACAGGTGTAAATGCCTGGCACTGCACGTAAAGCTATGATAAAAACATATGGCTTATGCTTAAAATTATATTAACAGACACATTGCCAAGAATGATAAAGGAAGCAAGTGAGAGTATTTTGAGGAGGGATTAATGGCAATGTATCTTTGACTGCAATAAATTTTTAAATTTAAACATCCACTAGATTTTTATTTGTCTTGATCAAATGTCTATGGCAAGTTCTGTCAAATAAAAATTCACAGATCTGATACCGGATGACTCTTGCTCTTCCCCAAAGTCAAAATGACCAGGAAAGGTAAACATTTGGAGTCAGCTCAGAACACTGAGGCAGCCACAGTACCACTAAAGTCAGTCACAAAAGGGGACTTCAGAATTGCTTCAGAAAGTGGCAAGAATGATGAGAAGCGTGTTCACAGTGTGTGTGTGTGTGTGTGTGTGTGTGTGCGCGCGCGCATGAGGTGTTTTGAGGAAGATTAATGGCAATGTACCTGTTACTATAGCAAACTTTTAAAATTTAAATATTTAAACATTCACTGTGGTTTTTGATCATACTTTGTACAGTATTGAAGGCGCCCACCCAACCTCCTTTATGCTTTTGTATTTTTGATAGTTTTCTAAAAAAACAAACATTAACAATAATAAAAGAAAAGTTATAAAGTCATTTGAAATGTGTGAATTATTTATCTAGGGAATTTTCCACTGAACATTTTTGGACTTCAGTTGACCACTGTTAACTGAAACTGTGGAGTGTAAAACTGCAGATAAGGGGATTTGTGTATGATACCCATAAACTTCTGCTTGTGTAGATAATCATCCTTTTGGCTATATTTAAAAAATGTTACTTTTCTCTGATTTTTATTTTAAAATATCTCTGTGATGAAAAAGGTGAATGGGATACACCTTGAAGTTGATAGCAGAAGGTCTAGTGCGTAACACAAAACAAAAATAAAAACAAAAGGAAAACTATTTAGAAAAGAATAGCACTTTTAGCCACAGAATAGACGAAGCCATAACTTGTATATCTGTTTATTAAAATGACTTTATGTACTTTTGTGAACTCAACTGTTGTTTCCATCTTATAAAATTCTTCCCTGACCACAGCTAATCCTGTTGTAAATGCTTTGTATATATTATGTAATCCTTTTGATAGTCCTATGCCTGTTATAACAAACCTGCAACATATAAGCTTGAGTCACAGCTCTGTCACTGCTATTAAGGAAAATCTCCTAAACACAATTCTTAAAATAAGGTAATATAGGTATAATAGGACTCACCTCAGGAGACTGTCATGAAAACAGCTCAGGGAACTGTGCAGCTACATAGACTATGCTTGATACATAGTAACCTCTCGGTATACACTGCTGTTATCATTGGCAACCAATAGTTTGTAAGAGGCTGCAAACATTTCTAAGGCAAAGAGCCCAAGGATTAAAACTTCATTTTTAGTGGCTTTCAGTTTGAAGAATCGGTTCGTTTTTTCCATGTTTGTTATGATCTCAATCTGAAATGTTCCCAAGAGTCTCATGTGTTCAGACTCTGGAAAGTGGTTGGATCATGGGGCACCTTACTGATGAGTGTATCAGTCAGTGATTGCTAGAGAAATGGGTTTAACACGAGATATACAAATATACAAGAACTTACAAGACTGGCATACAGTGGCCACCTACAGAGCCAAACGTGGAAGAGCGCAAAAGGTCTGTACGCTGCAGACCCAAAGGATCCAGTGGAAGGCCTGGAGCCCACTGTAGTGTCCCATGAGGGTCTGTTTCAGGCCAAGGGGTCTGCAGTAGAGGTTGAAGAGTCTGCCCTGAGAGCCAGGATATGACATCCAAGGTGAAAATGAAGGCTGGCGCTCCTTTGAAGAAGCAGAAGCCAGCCTTCCTGCCTTGTTTCTCCTTTGTATTACGCAGGTGACAAGCTGCCCCAGCATGGATCTTTAGTCTTTAGTAAATGTCCTCCACCACACTCAGAACTAGCTGGTCCAATTTAGTGGGGGTACATTTCACTCAGGTGAACATAGTTAACTATCACCGTGAGTTCTTGGCCAAACGTGCTGTTAAGGAGGCAGCATCTGATGGGAAGAGATTGGCAGTTGGGGGACGATTTGGGAACCTGAGTTCTTGTCCCCAGTTCCTCCCTTTTCTCTCTTTCTGCTTCCTGGATGCCACGAGTTGAGCGGCTTCCCCCTGCCATGCCCTGCTGTGGTGTCCTTTCTGCCTGGGAGTCTCCCACCCGATCACCTGACACGCACAGAGTCCTCTGAGACCATGAGCAAGATAACCCTTCCCTCCTCAGGTGCGCCAGGAGTTTGGTATCAGTGACTAAGAAAAATGACTGACGTGATACATTAGAAGATTTTGAAGGATGGTTCAGCTCATGAACTTAATTCTTTCCCTGATTCTGGTTAGAAACTGAATCAAATTTGCTGGTTAGGTTCAATGTTGACCTTATGGAGAAATTTAATTCTGTTTGCAACCAGTTTGGCTTGAGACCAAATCATGGAAATAATTAAATTCATAATATTCATCTCAAGAACTCACTCAATGGGTTGGGGATATAGCTCAGTGGGACAGTGCCTACCTGGCAAGTGCAAGGTCTCGAGTTTGATTTCTGGTAAAACAAACAAACAAACAAAAACCCCACCTCACTCCAACATCACTGACATTTTAAAATTAATTGATCTTGAACAGGAAATTATGCACATGATACAGAATTTAAGAGAAGTAAAGAACATGCAGAGAAAATGTATATACTATTACCAGGTTTTTGGTACCAGGGATCAAACTCACAAACTTGTGCATGCCACGCAGGTGCTTGTGCCACTGAGCTAAATCCCTGGCCCACTAGAGATATTTTATGAATATCTAAACTCTCTAGCCCCCTCCATACACCCACACACCTTCAAATACAGTCATGGATTGTTTAAAATGGAATAGAGGGTATCCTGTGAGAAATGCATTCTTAAGTAGTTGTGTTATTTAGTGAGCATTATAGAGATTTACACAAACTAAGGTAGCTACAATGTTTCTCAGAGGTATAATCAGTGTAATTCATCATTGGCTGAAACACTGTTATATGGGCATGTTATTATTCATTTAGCAAGTACATTCAATAGGAGTCTATGAATTGTTTTTTCTGAGCTATACCCAAGCTCCAAGCTTTTGAAGACTTGGTGCAAGAGTTTTAGTTTAGGAATATTGATTGTTTCTTTAGGGAAATTTTCTTCCTATGAACTCTGCCAGTAACCACCTCACCTGGGATGAGACCCAGAGGATCCCTCAGAGGGAAGCTCATAATTGAGTGTAGGGACTGAAAGTGATTAAGGAGGAGGATCAAGGCTGGTGAAGACCTATTTGGTGGCAGATTATGACTCTAAGACTTTAATCAGCTACCTGGCAAGATGGCTATGAATTGTTCTTCCCCATTTTGTAGATGAAGAGTCAAATATAGGAAGATGCTGTGGCTTGCCCAAGGTAGCACAGCTAGAAAGTTGAGGAGGCAGGATTCACACTTATGTCAAGCTGATATTAAAATCCCAAGTGCCCAGTGCCTTTCGAGCAATGAACAGGCAGATTAGGAAAGGAAGGGAAACAAAATCAGACAACCTGACCTTTTCAATATCAAAAACAGTATGCAACAGGCAAGTTAGCAGCCCATCAGCACCTCTTCAGACATGTGGGCTGTGGACCAGAATCCATGTTAAATATTCATAGGGGACAAATGCGACACAATCACTCAGTGATCATGGGATTTTGCTGGGACAACAGGAGTTCTATACCTAGTGTTACTGTTTTAGTCTATTGAGAGATTCCGTGCAGCTTTGACAAGGTAGAAATTGGTTATCATCACCTGAGCACATTGTTAGAAATTTTAGTAAATGAAAATTTCTGCCTAAAAAGCTGGGCATCTTCTTCAGCAATGGTGATGGTGTTTCAGAACAGAGTATGGACTGGGCGATTCAGACAACAGACATTTGTTTCTCACAGTTCCAGGAAAGTACAAGATGAAGGTGCCAGTGGGTTTTTTCCAGAGAGAGAGAGAAAGAGACAGGCAGAGGGAAGAGAAAGTGTGGCAGGGGAGACAGAGACAGAGAGACAGAGAGAGAGAGAGAGAGAGAGAGAGAGAGAGAGAGAGAGAGAGAATGAGAGTGGGGAGAGAGACCTGTTAGTCACTTATTATAAGAACACTAATGCCAAATTCTAAACTTGGGGTCTCCCCATGAGTCATCTAAGGCTGAACATCTCCTAAGGCCCAGCCTCCTAATAACATCTCCTTGGAGTTAATGTTTCATTGTATGACTTTCTGACAGTCACAATTACAGTTTTTGGTCCATAGCACTGATGATAGCAAAATAATGCATTCGTGTACACTTAGCACGTTTACTTAGCCGCTGGCAAAGTAAATTCACATAAATCACCTCATTTGAACCCCGGGGTTGTTATATGTGAGTTAGCTATTTTTACTTTCCCTATTTTAAGGATGAAGAAGCTGAAATGAGAAGCGTTTGGTGGTTCTCCCAGGGTCACGTGGCTAAGTAGCAGCAGCGGAGTGCAAAGTCAGGACTTCTGATTCCAAATGCTGTGTTCTCACAGCTGCACCAGGATTTAGGCCGTTCTACCCTCATATTACCAGCAGCACTAACAAAAGAGGCACAGCAGTGGGTGTTTGTTTAGTGCTGTGCTATGTACCTGTTTCTTTCGGCACACAGGTGGAGGACAGATGAAACTCTCTTGGAGCAGATACCAGTACTCCCTTGATCTTCCATCCTTGATGAAACTTCAAACCAGTGGTGAGGAACCTATGTGTGCTTTCTTTTAAGGCAAAAGATGCTAAAGTATGAGTTGTTTTTCTAAAAACTAAAACCCCAATATTCAGGTTTAAGGCAGTGTTGGTACTTAGTGATCACTAAGTGGGTTTTCAATTACAGTTTGGGCACTGATCTCTGAAAGGTTCATCATCACTGCTTCAACTTAGCAGGGTTAAACAACTTTCCAAGAGCACAGCTGGTACATGACAGACCAGTGGTGGCGAGTCTGTGGCATGTGTGCCACAGCGGGCATGCAGAGCCTTCTCTGTTGGCATGCGAGCCAGGTTATCCCAGCAGCTCAGCGTTGAATAAGAGTTGTTTTTTTCTAAACTAAAACCTCAGTATTTAGGTTTAACTGCACTGTTGGCATTTTGAGATACATAGTAGGTTTTGGGCTGTAGTTTGGGCACTTGGTCTCTACAAGGTCTACCATCACAGAGATAGGCTGTCTTTGACCCAGGTCTGGCTGACTGTAGAGATTATGTTCTCATTAAGCTACTCTGCTATTGTGGCCTTTAAAAATACTCTTTGAAAATGATATGTAAGATGAAAATATTCTGTTAGACATATTTTTTCAAGATTTTGGTCGGAAATGGATTTCTTGCCCTTTAAAAACATTAGTGTCCTACAAAGTACTCCATTGAAAGTCCTCTTTCTCAGGCACACAGATGGAGGACAGATGTTTCTTTATGCTCTAAAAGGTCCACTCTATGTAGCTGACTATAATGAGATAGTATTTGTTCTGAATGTCTCACAAAAATGGCATTGGGCAAATCATTCCCAATGAAAGGCAAATCAAAGGAGTTACTGCACGGATGTGATGAAAAAAAGTCCCAAACAACAGGGTGCTATTCAGTGGTATGGGTAAAAACTTTTCATTTCAGAGTTCACTCTGAGCCCAGACATCTGCAGATGTGTTCCACCCTGGCATTCAATCTGAAGTCAGAGAACTGCGTGTGTATCTGACTGAGGGCTACGTGATGGGCAGACAGGACAGGAGAAAGGGCTGACAGAGATTGTGTAATACAATGCTGAACTGTACTTTGATGAAACTCAGAATTGCATGGAGCATGGAGAGTGCATGGAAACTTTGCTGTTACTGAATTAGGCTATTCAGGTGCATGGAACCATGGCATGTGCTGAGAAAAATCATACGTTAATGTTCGAATCTATTTGAAATACTCATTTGGAAGAATGATCAGATGGACTTCTGGAGGTAGTGTTTTGCAGCTTTTGTAGGGTTAGAGTCTGATTGCAACCTCTGAAAACAGTCTTTCTCGGCAAACACACGTGCACTCATGTTTTGATTTCCAGGCATGGAGATCAGAGAATCATAACATCACCAAGCACACAGGTAGCCTTAAGTCATCATGTACATCTAATCTCATTTCATGAAAGAGAAAACTGAGGCTCACTAAGAGTCAGGGACATGTGAAATCAAATTCAGTGCTCTGGGAGAGAATTTCCTGGAGATCTGAAGACTATTACTCAAAGTGGTGTTTTCAGCTTTGGTTGAATTTTTGCATAGTCTTTAAGGACAAAAATTTTGAAATGTGATCTAGATTTTAAATCAGATTCTTTTCTTACCAGCCTTTTAAGTTTCCCAAAGTGTCAGTTTCCTCATCTATAGGATGGGTATAAGATTTTCATTTTGCTGTGTAGGGAAGTATGTGCTTATAATGTTAGTACTCTGGAAAGCTGGGGCAGGAAGATGGAAAGTTCAAGGTCAGCCTGGGCTACACAGTGTGTTAGTGAGAACCTGTCTCCAAAACAAAAATTTTTTTAAGAGTAGGAAGCTAGGGATGTTGCTTAGTGCAAAGGCCCTGGATTCAATCCCTACTACTGAAAAAAAATTGTTTTTCACTTAACCTAATTATGCCACTGTACCATTAGAAGGTGTAAATTATTTTCTCCGCATTCCATTCCCTTGCCTACATATTTTTAATGTTTCTACAATCAGTACAGTTTCTGGCACTAGACTCCCCCTGTGCACATGAGATACACCTTGCTAGTGAGGCTGTCTGCCTTTCACACATTCTGTAGCTACAGTGTGCAGGCACTGCACCAGCTGAAGGGGAAAAAGTATAAACAAGAGTTGCTTTCTGTCATCAGTATAGTTAGAGGAAAATCCACAGATATCCTCACTGCATTGTTCTAAGGGTTAGGTATAAAGGCAGTTACCTTTCAATTTCAGGGAGGGAAGGTGGTCAGAGGTGACTCAGATGGAACACAGTCTTGAAGAATGAACTGAGGTCCAACAGACATTTGTCTAAGGGATAAAGAGAATTCCAGCTGAAGAACAGCCTGGGTGAAGCAGGGAGGTTGGAAAGGATGGCATGGAAGATGGCCTTGTGGTTCCATGGTGGCCCTTCGGGAATGCACATGGGAAGCCCAGAAATGCTTGGAGGATTTGGGTTCTGACCAAAGGAAAACCACCGGGGTCGAGTCATGCCGCTGCTTTGTGAAATCCCACAGGACACAAAAGGGCAAGAGCTTGACATTTTCAGTGAGTCACATGCAAATGGCTGCTAAGTTGTCTCCTGCAAGGTATCAAGGCTTCTTTCATACCAGATCATGGTGAGAGGTCAGCACGGTTAATTCCCCACCACAGAAACTATTCCAGCCTTGTGAACTGAGATTTTAGCTTTTTCAGCTCTCTCTTGCCTGTTGTTCTGGTGAGATGTTGTTCTTGAAACCACACTCTCTGGCTGTGATGATAATGGACATGAGTATGCCTGTGGGACACGGCTTTGAATAGGACCCTGGCTGCCCTGTCCTCAGCAGCTCTGATTTGGTGCAGGATAAGTGCTTGTTAAACACTGGGAACAAACACCAACTTTGTACCCTGATGTGGCTTCCAGTTGCTTCCATGGAGTTGTGGGTGCCACTCATATTTTTCAGTTATTTCTTGGCCAGTTTTCTTCTTCATGGTAGGAAAAAAGAGGGACAAATGGATCATGTGCTCCCAGTAGGTCAGATTCTTTTCTGGCTCAGTACAATTTTTTATTTGGAAACAAATATCCCTGCAAATGTTAGCAAGTCAGATGGTCAGATATTTATGGAGAATCTCAAAGCTAGGTACTGGGACTCAGGATAGACATGGATACTTGTCTCTACAAAAGGTTTTAGAATACTCAGGAAAACAGACATCAGAGAAACAGCCATCACCAAAGTGACACATGCCTCAAAGTATAGAGCCAGTTGCCATGGGAATGTACAACAGAGGAGCTAAGTGTGTGCAATCCTGGTCAGAAGTCCCAGTGTGGCCATTGATACTGAGAGCTGAGTGAACAGGAGATAACGAGCAGAGTGAGGAGGAACCTCGTAGGCAGAAAGAAATACATACAGACAGACCAAAGTGCAAAGGGCTTGCTTTCAAAGACTTCCTACCATCCTTGGAGGGAAAACTATTAGGGTTAACATGTGGTGAGCACCCACCAGGGTCAGATGAAAAGCTAAGCATTTGGCATACGCATGGAACACTCCTAAATTTGTAAGGTTTGTTTCTAGAAAGTTGGGGCCGTTTGTCCCCACTGTTCCTGCTTCCCCAACCCCAAGTCCTCAATATTAGAGGTAGCATTTGGGCAGTAGCAGCCAAATCAATATTTGCAGAAGTTTATATTTGTAGAAAAGAAAACTGAGGCTCAGAGATAAAAGATAGACTAAGAGTTACTGGTGAGAGTAGGACTCCAATGCAGCTTAGAGGTGAGTGTCTTCCAGGCCACCAGCAGACAGCTGGGCTCTGTCCTAGTCTTGCCTTCTCTTTTTCCTGGCGCAGTAGGCTCTGTAGCTCTGAGTCCTGGCTGCCTGTGTGGCACCCTGGTCTGGGATGCCCTGGCATATGGTGGATGAGCCTGATGGTGCACAGCCTGCTCTGTAGCCTGCATTCTAGGTTTAGCCAGAGGCCCTCCTAAGGGCACCCACACTGAGAGGTGCCTAGGAAGGAGCCTGCTAACTGAGCTGGCACTCAGGCCCTGAGCCCCACGGAACAGGAACTGATAACTGCAAATTGCAGGCATCTCTCTGCCCCAGGTCATACCCTGGGCTGGAACAGGATCAGCCTCAGCTCTCCACCTTTGGTGTTAAAATCCAAGAGGACTGAGCACCTCACAGGTCCCTGCTGACCCCTGCAACCTCAGGACATTTCTCCTTCTGGAAACTGTTATGCTGTATGGGCTCTACAGGAAGTGTTTCTCTCTGTGCTCAGCTAAGCAGATTCTGTTCACTGTGGACTTGGCTCTCCTGATGGTGAGACTCTGCAGATAAACAGCCTTTAGTTTTAGGATGACTATATTTCTTCAATCCCTATGTGCTTCAGGTTCTTCAGTGAAAATTTTGTGTGTCAGAAAAATGAATCATTTCAAAAGCTGAAAAAAGAAATGCATGACATGTTCTAGCTCTTAAGAAAATTACTCACTATTAACACTGATCAAAGCTTCCCACTCATGCAGCACTTTATATACATCAGAACACTGGAGTCAGAAGGCACCTAGGGAACATCTCTAGGCTGAGGCCGGGACCCGAGCACACCGACACCAGGTCAGTCACGCTTCAAATGGCAGGATCCTTGGGTGGTGGTGGTGCTGCTGAAGCCCAGAGCCCCACTTTTTCCTCCCTCTTTGAGACAGCCTCCAGTGTCCTCAGCACTGTGAAATTCCGAGTCACAGTTCGCCTTGGAAGCCTGTTATTTTCCTCTGGGCTCCTCCAGTCATTGGCTCATTTCAGGCCTTCCCATCTGACATGACGCCCAAGCCATTTGGCTCATTTCCAGCCCTACAAAAAATATCCTCTTGATACTCTCTGCTAAGCCCCAGGGTTTACATTCTGACCAGAAGAGAAGGGAGAAGGGCCAACTTCTTTCATCTTCTAGCAGAAAACAAAAGGCATCTGATGTGACTGTGTGAAGTGCCAGCGAGGTCCCTAATGTGTCATATTCCATCTTTCTTTTATCAGCAAAGTTCCGAGGAGGGGCAGGGGCACCCCCGAAGCATTTCGGGTTCCTCTGTGAGCCTCAGAGACAGCCAAGCCAGGTGATGAAACGCCACATGGCTCAAAGAGCCAGTATTTGGAAGATCCAAGCAGAAAATGCCAAGTGAGGCAGCGCTACAAGGCAGTGGTTGTGAGAACTTGGGCTGACACGGCACAGCCAGGCGGGAAATGCCGGGGTCACCGCAGCATCTCGGCCAGGAACACAGCTTCTTATCTGGAACACGGCATGAATTCAATCAGGACAGTCTCTCTCCACCCTCCTCCTCGTGCTCCAGCTGTTTAAATCAGCAGCAGAAGAATGAAGTTAGCTCTGAACTGTGGTAGGAATTCATTTTTTGAGTCTAAAATGTCTGCCAGCATTTTCCTATAATAAATCAGGACTGTCAGGGAGGTAATCGTAACTTCTATTCTCTTAAAAACACAAAAACAAAATCCAAACTAGGTGCCTCATTGGCAAGTCAGAAACTTATATAGCTTCAACAACTCTTTTTTAATTGGTTAGGGTCTTTATCCCCCATCACCCTCAGGGTCAGAAATCCAACAGGGACACACAATCCTAATGCAAGCAATATGCTTATAGATTTAGATTAGAATATTAAAATAAAAGCTGTGCATGTTCAAAAATAACCATAAGGCTTAGAAGTAGTCATTTGATGACATTATATTTACACTGAAGTGTTTAAAACTGTGTCTGTTGGCATGAACATGTGTATCAAGTCTTTCCCATAATATTCATAGTTCATGCATTGTAAGGGAAGCATACTTGGTAAGGTGACAGTATGGCTGTGCTCACAACCTCACCACTTGCTGGACACGTGACCTTGGTAAGTTTTAAAAAGTAGGTTTGTGGTAGAAAGTCTGGTTCAAAACCTGGCTCTGTCAGCAGTTTGATATGTAATACAGAAGCTAGAGTGTTCATGTGCCTGAGTCTATTTTGCATTTATATGATAGGGCTCATGCCTGCTTAGTAGCTGTAAGCATTAGTGGCATTTCTAAAGTCTATGGCAGGTGCTGTAGGCATCCTCAGTAATGGTAGCCATTGGAGGTTATCTAATAAGAAGAGCCCAAAGTGCTCTTCAGTGACATTGAGCATATGAAGGGTTTATAAAGACTGAGATCCCCATTAATATGGATACAGCTTGTTGGGGAATGCGCTGACCCTCGAGTTAGGCAGGAGGTGCACATGCGAGTCGGGCTATGGTTAAATGCATGTTATCTGTGTCTGTCAGAGCTAGCCCAGCAGAGTGAAAAGAGTGCTTGCCAGGACCAGATACAGACCTATACACTGTCTCCTTTCTTTAAAGAGGCTGGGGTCTCCAACCAGCCACTTAAATTTTCTCAGAAAATTCTCCATGGTTCTTTCTCATGTCGTATGGTCTATGATTCCAGGCTTACATGAGAGGATGAGGTGGACAAATTAAAGGGACAGAAAATAATTCATTGGTTCAGAAAACAGAAACCAGGGCAGATACAGAACAGGAAGAAAGCAAAGGTATAAAACAGAACAAAAGACACCACTGAGTTCTGAAAGTTTTCAAGGCACCAAGGTGGAGGACAAAACCCTAATGCTAAGTGTTCAGTTCAATTTCTGTAGAAATAGGCTGTGCAGATCTGTAAGTTGTATATGGTTCCTCTTTTGAGCAGTTGTGAGACCTTGTGAGACCTATATAATTTTTTTGAGACAAGGTTTCATTATGTAGTCCAGGCTAGCTTTGAACTCATAATGAGCCTCCTGTCTCAGCTTTGTGAGGGCTGGGATTACAGGTGTGTGCTAGCCCACTCAGTAGGTTATAATTTTTAAGATTCGTATCTCTCTTATTTTTTAAAAAGTCTTATTACCTTTGGAGTACAAAACAACTCCATTCATTGCGGGGCACTGGTACATATATGTAAAACATGCTTCCTCACTTGCCTGTTTTCCTTAAGAGAGTTGTTCGATGGACTGAAACAGCACACATGAAAAGCCAATAGAGTAAAAAAAAGTTACTCTTCTCCTCTCCCGTGTTAATTCCCTCTACGGCGCTGCCTTCCAAGTTTAAGGAGCATGGACTATATGGTTGTATCTCTATCTCTTCCTAATTTCAAGCTGTGAAAGAGGTTTATGATGTGCATTATTCTTCCCTGATATTGCAAGGTCACAAAATTTCCCTTAGGTCTCTTAAATATGAGCTGAATCGAGTCTTCACTTGGCCTTTGCCTTGTCACAGAACTGGCTGAGCAAGGGTCCATCTACTATGAAAAGGATCACTGGGCTGACCTGGAAAAGTGACAGCTGTTATTTTTTTCCTTTCAAAGGATCGAGTGCTTTATGCATATCCATGGGACTAACAAGACAGATTTGAATCCAACCCAGATGGGTGAAGTAGAAAACTCTCTTCACAGAGGTGGCACATGGTTCCCCCTAGTGGTGCAGTTTGGGAACTCCAGGAAGGAAACCTTTCCCTTATTAGTCCTTAACCATGTCGAGCATTTCATGGAGAGGAACAGTTTCTTCATCTGCAGTGGTCATTCACTGATGCATGTAGAGAAAAAAATAGTCGTGGGCAGGATCAAGGCACTCACATTCCTGGATGAGTTGAATTAAGGGTTATTACATTTAGATAGTTTCCTGTGCATATTAACTGAAAAAGTGTCAAACGTTACTTGAATAATTGGAAATACGGGGTCAGCAGCTCAGGCAACACAGGTCACCGGCCTAAGAAGTGGAAGTAGGCCTTCTATTCAGCATATTAATCTATTTTGAATGTGAAACTGGCAACAAACTACTTCCTAGATGGGAAGAATCTTGGTAGAAGACAATTTTGTTGATAAACCAAAGATAATAGGTGAGGTATTTGATATTATTGGAAATGACACTGAGGTAGGAAAGAGGTGGAGAGAGGGAAGGAGAGAGAAAGGGAGAGAGAGAGAGGGAGAGAGAGAGAAGAGAGAAGAGAAGGGGGAGAGAGGGAGAGAGAGAGAGAGAGAGAGAGAGACTGATCTCTGATGGGGGGCGGGGCAAAGGATGGGGACCAAAAAAGAGGGTAGGGTGAGGTAAGTTGCTTGGAAAAAGAAAGCAGAGCCACCCAGCAGCAGGCAGCTTTGCTCAGGAGGCCCAGGAGATGTTGGTTGGCGGTGTTTGACAGAAATGCTATGACATGTGGGAACTGTCCCTACAGCTCCCATCTCCACTTGCCTTTCTGCCAATCATGTTTGAATTCTACCCTTGTTAGAATTTAATTTTTAAAGAAGTGATTACAAGACAGTTAACATAAAGATCCATGGATTTTACTAATGGAAAACTAGTTCCCAAACTGTGATGCCACATACCTGTTGTCTCAGCATACCAGGAAGCTGATGCAGGAGGATCACAAGTTCAAGCACAGCCTGCCCAACTTAGTAACTTAGGAAGACTTTGGCACAATAAAACAATAAAATAATTGGGGACAGAGCTCTGGCTAAAGGCCTTGGGCTCAATCCCAGTATCAAAAACAATCAAAACGAGGTCACCTATCTTTACCAAATTTATGTGGAATATTCAAAGCATGTTCTCTAAAGGTCTGCCCAATTCTTATCCACCCAGGGATTCCACATCATATTTTGATTTTTCATGCCAGGCACTGCATAGGATTTTCTCTGGGCATCTAATTTGAGACAGTCACTGAGACTAATGTTAAACTTTACCTGGGGGGGGGGCGGTGTCAGGGAGCTGCATTTCATAAAGGTGAGGGAAAGCAAACCTAAACATCAGAGCAGCAAGTGGGGACACTGTAGTTTAAAGACGCTATCAGGGAAGAGAAGCTCAGCTCTGAGGCAAATTCTCTAGTAACAGGGCTGCCCTGCAACTATGTAGGCTTCTCCCACGTTGAGGGGAGGCCCTCCAGGGTGGCAATGTTGACCCAAAGAATGGATGATAAACCATCAGAAAGCATCTTTCCTCTGACTGTGGAGGCTAAGACTGAGATGCCACTGTACTTGGCAATAAGTAATTGACAATCTGTGTTAAGAGAAATTACAGGATGGAGCTGCATGTGGGACATGAGCCGAACCAAGTGGATTAAGAAGTGAACAGTAAGGGAACAGGGCTGGCCAGGAGCTCTGGTGGTAACAGAACTAACAGAATGACTGTGTAGGCCGGGTAAACATAAAAGTTGTTTTCCCAAATGAAAGAACGGGCTGCATACTTGGTGGGTGCCCCAGCTTCTCCTGGGCTTACTCTCCACTCAGCAGCAGAGGGAGGTAGAGAGCAAAAAATGCTGAGGGCTGAGCCCTACAGGAACAACAGGAATGCATAGAAAAAGGCACACATATTTTAAGGTACTACTGACATACTCTGAAAATCTCAGTAACAGGCAGCTGCTGTAATGAATCACTGGCAACTAGCAGTCAGAAAAGCTTTACCTGAGGAAGATGACTTAAAATGGTAAAGGAACGTCAAGACTGTACACTTTTTAAATGACTTTTTTCTTGGATCTTTGGCCTGTGCTACTCACCATTATGGAAACATGGGTCTTGAGTTAAAGATCCAACATTGCAACCTTTGGGTAAACTGCTTTTTCTAGACCTCAGAGATGAAGGGTGAGAACATGAGGTGGGAGCTGTGCATTGAGGAGGAAGCAGAAAGCAGGGCAAAATATGCAGCTCCACAGAAGGGCACCCTCCCAACAGTGTCCACCCAGCCTCCCTGCCAAGGTCAAGCTCTTTATGACCATTTTTGAAGTCATTTTGAGAGATGAAAGTGAATGCTGATGCACATGAAACCATAGCAACGCTGTTTGTGGGGACTATTAGCTCAGGACTTCCTCTCAGAGCTCCTAGCACTCCCCCAAAGGCTGCTTAAGTCTCCCGGCAAGCATGGCTAAGGCCAACGAGAGCATTGTCTTGGGAACAATGTAGCCAGGAAAATGCTGGGTAGCAGCTGTTGTATTCGTCATTTGCTGTGCGGACACCGTAGCTGAAACCTACACTTTAGTGGGAGAGCTTACATTTGGCTCAGGGCTCAGGGTTTAGTCCATGGCTGGCTGCAAGTCACATACACCCATGGTGAAGGGAGTGGCTGAGGAAAACTGCTCACTTCTAGGCTGTCAGGAAACAGAAGGGGAGGGAACTGTAACCTGGAGAGGTTCCCGGGAGACCACCCGCCAGTCGGGTCCTTCCTGCTGAGGACGCATCAGTGAACTGACTCAATGGTGAGTGTCACAGCATCACGGTCCAATCTCTCCCATAAGCCCCACTGCTGAACAAGATAGTTTTGGGGAACATTCTAGATCTAAACCCTAACAACTTTCTAATGCGGGCCTGATGTGTGTGTACTCAAGTGAGACTGAGAAATTTTCGATCCAAAACATCACACTGTTATATGCATATTTTACCCAGTAAGTAACTTTCTTCTCCCTTGACTATCTTCAGCAGGGCCTGTCTTGCAGTTACTTTGGTTTTATGTATCTGGTCCACTGCCCAGTGTTAGTGTTAATACTAAACAGAGGAACAGGTGACAATAAGAGAAAGTTGGTTTCTGAGTATTTGTTCCTGAAAAATATTCCAAGGACAGACATTGTTGGAAAGAGACCAGCGACTCTGGATATCTGCGCCCAGACTGCTGGAGTTCCCTCAGGCTTCCAGGTGCAGTGAAGGAGAGAGGTGGGTTTGAGGCTTCCACATCAGCCTCCCCATTCCCGGCTTCATTTGGAGACCTGCTGAGCTCCCGATAGGTGGGCTGGCCCACACTACCAGCCTAGCCCAGCCTGTTTAGCTGCCGCGCCTGGCCATTGGTCTGCAGAGGAGGAGCTGGGCAGATTTGGGGTGCCTGCATCGGCCTCTCCATGTGTCTGGGGGACTGTGGGTATCTCTGCAACCAGGGAGGGTCCACAGGTTCCTGAAGCACTGCGGCCTGTGGTGAGTACCCTAACCCGGCTGCAATTGAAGAACTGTGGAGCTTCCAAGGGGCAGGTGGGCGCACAGTGTCCCTGAGGCCCAGCTTGTCTGGAACTGCGGAGTTCTGAGCAGGCAGAGGAGGGCCACTGGTTCTGTAGGACTAATGGCTTGGGGTAGCGTGGCGCCAGAGTCTCAGTAGCTCCAAACATAGAAGGGGATTTTCAACAGATCCTGAGGAAGCTTTCAAATAACACTTGAAACACAGAAATATAGGAAAATGACAAAATGAAAGACCAAATTACAACCTCAAGCCTCCAGCCCATCTCAAGAAACCCTAGGAGCGATGTATATAGAAGAAAATATATCCCATCCACCTCATATATTGGACACAATAGCCACTGAAATTGACAAGCAACTCCAGGAAGCTTTAAAGAAATTCAAACTCGAAATAGTCTCCCAGATAAAAGAAGAAATGATAAAAGAAATGAAAGAGATTCTAAATATATCTAAAGAAAACACAGATAAAAAATTGGAGGAACTAAACAAAAAGATAGAATCCCTAGACGAGCAATATAAGAAACAAACAGAATGCATAATGCAGATGCACAGAGATATACAGGAAATAAAAAACTCCACTGAAAGTTGTAAAAACCGCCTTAATGAAAGTGAAGATAGAATTTCAGACCTTGAAGACAGGATTGCAGCTAGTGAACAGGAAAGGAAAGATCTTTTGAAAATAACAAGGAACCAGGAAACAACAATTCAACAACTGCAAGACGATGCAAAGAAGAATAACATAAGAATGATAGGGATTAATGAAAGAGAGGGAGACAACATGAAGGATGTCAGGAGGATATTTAGAGAAGTAATAGCTGAAAATTTCCCAAGCATGAGATCAGAAACTGACATCAGGATCAGTGAAGCATATAGAACTCCAAACAGTCATAACCAAAATAAAACTACACCCAGACATATAATAATCACCATCCCAGAAATCCAACACAAGAATAGATTATTAAAAGCTGTCAGAGAGAAAAGACAAATTACTTATAAAGGAAAACCTATCAGAATCACAGCAGACTTCTCAGCACAAACAATAAAGTCAAGAAGAGCATGGAGTGAAGTATTCCAGATCCTAAAG